ATATATACACACACACACATATACATATCTATCTCTCTATCTATCTCTATCTATCTATCTATCTATCTATCTATCTATATCACAAGCCACTGGAACCACTAGAACAACTGGTCGTTATGATGCCCACTGCTGCCAGCCATCTGGCCTGATCGGGGGCAAAGCCAGCCAGCCAACCTTCCACAGCCCCTTCCCCTGCTGGCCCCGCCCCTGATTGGCCCAGCCTCGATCAGTCCTGATCGGGCAGGGGCCGGTGGCCAACCTCCCGCAGCCCCTACCCCCGGTCAGCTGGCCCCATCAGCCCCAATCGGGGTGGGCTGGACCCCACCCGTGCACGAATTCGTGCACTGGGCTTCTAGTTGCTAAATAAAAATGGTATGTTGTAATGAAAAGACTGCTGAACTGAGAGTCAGGAAGCATTCTTGTCTTAACTTTGCATTACTTTAGTTTGTATTTTGGGGCAGGTTTAATTAACAACTTGGGCATTTTATTCATCTGTAAAATTGAAGAGGTGAACTTTGATTATTTTAATGATCTCTTCCATGACATTCTGTAACCTTTCAATGCTAAAGAGTTGCCTTTCTAGAAAAGAAAGTATTTTATTAGTCATTCCATATTACTTTCCCACTGTGTAGGAATTTTGAAAGTTGTGTTTTTGAAATTACTCAATCAGCATTAATATATCACCCATATTCCTTTGTGTACTGTTGATTTCTAAAATTGGGCTCAACTTATACCAATCTCATTTCTTCCCCATTTCCCAGCCAGAATGTTCCAGTTTATTTGCTCTAGAATGTGCTTCACACTCTTGTACTTACATGTTTTTGCTCATACTATTCCCTTTTAAGTATCGTTCCCATCCCTCAGCCACTTTGAGCCCCTATAACATTTTGTTTATAATTATTTTGGCCTTGTATGATAGCTCTCTATGTATTGTATTATGCTGTATATGAATGAGAGTGTGAACTCCTTGAAGGCAGGTGTTTAATTTTTATCATTTTATTAATCTTATTACTGAATCACATAACATTTTTCACATAAGTATGGTCTTAATATTTGTAGAACTGAATTTATAAGATGATTAATGACAGATAAAGTCAATAGGTATGAACAGTGAAAAACTAACAGGATAATAAGGAAATTCACTTAGTCATTTTGAATTAAAGTAGTGTTTTAACCATCTATGCTGACTGCAAACATTTGTATTCCATGGTCACTTATGTTCTATTATAAGTGCCTCCCATTCATTTATTCTTACAGAATCATCTGCATACTTAACACTTCTATTTTTTTTTCTTCTCCCTGTAATCCACTTAACTACTTGCCTTCATTCATCATTGTAGTTTAGCACTGCTTTGGTCTTAAAGTTAATATCTAATTTTGTTAACACAATCTTGCTTTATTTTATATCTATACTTTCCAGGTTTTATCTCCTTGATCTTGTTCATAGGCTTATCAGCTTTAATCTCCTGTTGTTCTTTTACACTCTTCAATTTACATATCATTACACTTGCTCTTTTACTTTAGATAATTCATTCATTCTGTGTTTCCTAAAGGCATATGCCCTTTGGTTGCTGTCTCCAAATAGAGTTTATATTGACAAGTGTCTTAGAATCAGTCTAATGTTGGGGGTTGAATTGCTAGCCATGAGGAATGAGCTTGAGTTAGCTGTCAGACTTGTACTCCTCTATCCTTTTAATGGGAAAATACCCTCAGTGGCAGTGCTGGCTAGCACTAGCCCTTTTGTTAAAGGAGTTGATACGGATTACAGAACATGTCAGATGCTAATGGGCATTTTTATACGTGAACTTTTGCGGGGATGAAACCTGGGTTATAGAATTTGTCAAAGAATTTCAAAATGGTAGTCTTGGGCATAAATGAATGAGTAGAAATGATCTCCCTCCCTCAGATTCAGTAATCTTGAATTAATTATTGCCTGCAACAGGTGCATGGTTGGTTCGGACTAGATAAAAGAACAAAGGGCAATAAGACAATGAGTAAAACAACTAAAAAGAGACAGGGAAAGTAAAAGATATAAGGTAAAAGTTGCCTAATTTGCCTATCTTTGTGCCACTTGGAGTCAGTAGTTGAAGGGTTGTTGGGAACATTATGGCAAAGAAAGTGGACTTGAGAAGATAATGTGAGAATGTAGCACAGGAAATTTCTGTTGGACTTAATTTAAAACTATGTTGTTTTTAGTTCTATTTTTACAGTGCATCCCGATCTCTAAGAGCTTACCATATTACCAAATGTTTAAGTCGGATATTATATTTGTATAATAGTAAAGAGTAGCTTATACATTCCTTAAATATATTGATGTTTAATTGTATAAACACACTATTCTTTTAAGGATACAAAAGAGGAAAAATCTACACTGTCCATTCTGTTCTATCAGACATACTGAATAAACAGGGAATATCCAGGACTCCTTCCCTAGTATTTGTAGGAGCATTTCATAGTAGAGAACAAAATTGCATGCTAACTTAAACAAATAATTTGGTTAATTTCAATTTTAGAAAATATTAAGTCATTTATTTTTATCTTAACAGGTATCTTTCAGATGAAGGCATTGAAGCTTGCACAAGTTCTCCTGATAAAGTCAATCTAAATGACATCATCCTGATTGCTCTCAATGTAGGTATTTTATTAACCTTTTTAATATTCATGGAAAATATTGCATAGAATAAACTGGATTTTATAAGTGATATGGAGTAATAAAAACATCTTTTACTTTTATTGTCCATTTTTAGTTACAGCGATGTTTCTTAAATTTGTTAATCTCATATAAGCAAATTATTAGAAATATCTTCTTCCTTTTAATATCTTATACGGAATCCAATAAATAGGAAAAAATGCAATTAAAACTTCTTTTTAAAACCAAGTGTTTAGTTATAGAATTTTATAACCTTTACATTATCTGTATAATAGCAATAAAAACTGATCTTATTCATTGAAACAAATTACCATTTAATTAACATAGAAACACTGTTAGGTGGTAGCTTTTTGACAGTTTTGTTTATTATTTCAAAATAACTTTTTCTGTTGATAAAAGTAATATATATTGTAGAAGACTTCATAAAACACAGAAAGTAAAATAAAAATATTAAAATTACTTATAATTACTGTTAATGTTTTGATATGTGTTTCTTTCCAATCTTTCTCCCTCTACCCATCTGAGTAGCTATATCTTTTCCATAATTGCAATTGGTTTTTGGATTTTTTTGGGAAGAGTTATAAAAATTATTCTAAATATAGATATAAGTAAACAACTATTCTTTTTTCAATCTTGCAGTTACCCCAATGGAAGTTTTCATGTTGCCTTTACAATGACAATCTATTAATCAAACTTATTTACCTATTATACATAATCAATTAAGTTCATAAGAGAATCACTGTCTGTCATAGTCATCAGATTATTGCAAAATAGGTATGGCAAAGCAGAAAGAGCAGCAACTGATTTAAAATATAAATAAATATGTATGACTGAATATAACTCTTTTCAAATCACCTAAATTTATATTTCTATAATGAAACTTGGGTTTAAGCAGATAAAAATTGTTTTGAAATCTCATTTTATCAGCTTCTTTGAATTTTATCAATAAGACTAATGAGACTTTTTATTGTTTCTGAGCTAAGGAAATTTTTAATAAACGAGACTGTAAGCCCTGGCCAGTTTCTCAGTGGTTAGAGCATTGGCCTGCAGACTGGGCAAGAGCGGGAGGCAACTAATAGATGTTGCTGTTTCTCTCTCTCCCTTTTTGCTTCCTCACTTTCACTGTCTCTAAAAAATCATTGGAAAATATCCTCCGGTAAGGATTAAAAAAAATTTTTTTTAAGTAAGCATTCTTTTAGAAGAATACTAATACAGGCTGTCTATGACTACAAATGGAAATTCTCCTTAGACATTTTAACTTTCTTTGACTTGCACCCAAATTAGTGAATTCAACTTTCAAAAAATGTCGTAAAGAACTCTATTTTTTTTGTTTATTTAAGAAAATATCCTAAAGATGACAGGAAAGAGATTTTGTGATAATCTTCTGTTCTTCTCTATTATTCTTACTTATATACTTAGGTAAATAGCAATGAACTATTCATAATTGGATGTGAAACTTTAAATGAAATAGGTCAAGATGGCTTTTGGTCTGTGCACATGAGAAGTGCACAATGACCATTATTTTAATGAATTAATAGTCTTTATAATTTTCTCTGAAATATGTAGTCAAACACTACAACCTAAGTTATCATACCATATAACAGGGGAAAAGAACCTTTTAAAAAAATATACTTTTATTGATTTCAGAGAGGAAGGGAGAGAGAGAGAGAGAGAGAGAGAGAGAGAGAGAGAGAAATAT